TGTTGATATGGTAATTAATTAACATGCAGAAAAGATAGAAGACAGAAGCAATGGAAATGTTGCAGTTGATTCGTATCATCGCTATAAGGTATATATTACCTATTCAAAGTTTTTGTTTCTTTTGATATAATTTATCAACTGTCATCACTAATAAAAGTTAATGCTGAAAATTAGATATTTGCGTATAAAACATGGTAAAGTTGCTTTTCTAATCACGATCATTACTACACTTCTATTAATGATTACCACTAGTAACTTATTGATCAAAATAAGATTATTATCTTTGGCCGAACCAAATTAATTGATTATTTATTAATTAAGGAATTGGTTAGACCTTAGAAGTTCAACTAAGAAAGAAATGTTAAACAAGACAAGTTATAAAATTATTGTTGTTATCTTTTGTTTTCTATCGTTTTCAAGTAAACATGATGTTACGTTGCATATTATGCAGGAAGATGTTCAGATTATGAAGGATATGAATTTGGATGCTTATAGATTTTCTATATCTTGGTCCAGAATTCTTCCGAGTGAGTCAATAAGGATCAATGATTAATTTGGATTAAACTTTACCTGTTTGGATCTTTCGCTTTAATCATTTATTTATTTTCATAAACTGTCAACAGAAGGAAAGCTAAGTGGAGGTATAAACCAAGAAGGAGTTGACTATTACAACAACCTTATCAATGAGCTACTTGCTAATGGTCAGAATAAAAGCTTTATTATTTAGCAATTTCCCATGATATTGATGATGAAAACACATCAACACTAATCGTCATGTATATTAAAATAATTTCAGGATTGGAACCATTTGTGACTCTTTTTCATTGGGATCTTCCTCAATCCTTAGAAGATGAATATGGTGGCTTCTTAAGTCCTCGCAGTGTGTAAGTTGTGCAATTTAATTAATATTTCCACTTGAATGCTTTGCTAAGATGTTTCTGGAACGTTCCTAAATCACACGTTTTTTATTACAGGAAAGATTTCCAGGACTATGCAGAGCTTTGCTTCAGGGAATTCGGAGACAGAGTAAAAAAGTGGATAACTTTGAACGAGCCATATAGTTACAGCGACAAGGGTTATGCATTAGGAACAAAGGCTCCTGGACGATGTTCATCTTGGTGGAGTTCTAAATGCAATGGTGGTGATTCAGGAACAGAACCCTATTTGGCTACACATCACCAACTTCTTGCTCATGCAGCTGCTGTTAATGTCTACAAGACTAAGTATCAGGTAAGCTCTCATTAAATTTCAACCTCGTACTTCCTATGTTTGTTACAGTGTAACATGTTTTTTAATATGTTAAATGAAAAAACTATATATGGATGCAGAGATTTCAGAATGGTGTAATAGGCATAACACTGTATTCTATTTGGTACGAGCCACTCTCAGATAGCAAGCTAGATCGAAAGGCTGCTGAACGAGCTATGGACTTTTTGTTTGGATGGTAAGTACTTCCATCAATATGTTCATGCACAACTTAAACTTAAACATTACTTAATTAATTAGAATGGTGTGCTAAAACATTCTTAAACTATTATCTATAAGAAAGAAAAATCACTATGTATAATTCATGTAATGCTTTATTTATTGCAGGTTTATGGATCCACTTACAAGAGGAGATTATCCAGAAAGCATGCGTTCCTTGGTGAAATCACGATTACCAAAGTTTACAAAGGAGCAATCCAAATTGCTCATTAATTCATTTGATTTTCTTGGCATAAACTACTACACTGCCAATTTTGTCTCTGATGCTCCAGAATTAAGAAATGTCAGAGGCAGTTATATGACAGATCCCCTCGTAAATTATTCATGTAAGAAGACTTGTTTATTAACTTATATATATATATATATATATATATATATATATCAAATAA